AAGGACAGGCTGACTCTCTTGTAAGGGAATAACAAAGCTAGTGACTTCAAATTGAAGATAATGTCCATGTACCATTCCAAAGGTCCTAGGACCATTAAGAATTATACTAATTCTTTTCTTAAAGTATTATGGTAAATGTTCAGGGCCCACTTATGAGTGATAATATGTGGAACTCAGTTTTTGGTTTCTGTGATAGATCACTGAGTATTGGACACTACCGGGAGCAGGGGCACATAACATCAATGAGGATACCTGATCTCAAACCAGGAGAAGTGAGGGCCAAACTTTACCTGTATGATGACCGCTTGTATATCTAATTCTGAATTTTACCACACGTCTTTAAAATAATAAGTTTTAAAAATTATGCAATCTAGTATGACTGTACTCCACAAACAGAACAAGAAAGTGTGGGTGACGGCACATTTTGTTTACAGCATGATTGACTAAATATTTTAAGCTCAGAGTTGAGACTTACTGCTCAGAAAAAAATATATTTTTAAAATAGTACTGTTCATTGACAGTGTACTTAGTCACTCAAGAACTCTGATGGAGATGTATAAGAAGATTAAGTTGTTTTCACATCTACAAACGCAACATCCATTATTCAGCCGATGAGTCAAAGAGTAATTCTGACTTTCAGGTCTTCTATTTTGTGAGGGTTTAGCTGCCACACATAGTGATTCCTCTGGTGGAACTGGGCAAGCCAATTGAAATTCTTTCAGAAAGAATTCACTATTCTAGATGCCATTAAGACCATTTGTAATTCGTGGGGTGAGATAAAAATAACAATATTAACAGGAGTTTGGAAGAAGTAGCTAGATTCCCACCTGCTTAGACATTAAAGACTTCATTGAAGGAAGTCACTGAGTATGTGGTGGAAACAGCAAGAGAACTAGATATAACACCTTAATTTACAAGAAAATGATTTGAAATAATCAAGGCTATATTAATTTCTGTTCAAATTCAAAGTCTTATAAAGATTATTAAGACATACGTTGAACATAAAGTGTTCTAATAATAAGCTATTGCCAGAGAACGTTAGAGTTGGAGGAATAAAGTTCAACTCCCAACTACAAGCTTTTATTATACTTCTTTCATTCCTCAGAGGTGACCTTGCCATTCCTGTGTTCGCGTTATTTGCCTGTCTGTTGACATTGGGTAGCTATTGGGACACAGCCATGGTGGCAAGGGAAAGAAATCCTCAAAACAGGAGCCAGGGCTTTTGGAGTCAATATATCACATTCTTTTCTATCTGGCAATTAAGTACTCGGTACTCTGATCTATCAGGAAACCCCCTACAAAGTTTTTATGAGAGTAAAATGTGATTTTAAAAATGAAATATTTTTGAAAGTCTATGAAGTTTTATATAAATTGAAACTATTTTACTAAACACACTTCAATCTTTACTAAAACTTTAGACCCATCGCATCATTAAACATGTACGTTTGCTGTTATTAAATGTAGTAGAAAAAGGCTGAAACATTTTCCTGTGAACAAACATCATGAAAATAAAAGTGAATGCCCATGAGAGTGTACAAAATTTGACTCCCTTCTCAATGATTTTAACGAAAAACATCTACGTCTTGATTACTCAGACACTATACCCGCACGATTAGGCTAACAGTTGGGACTGATGTATTATGATATGATTTTAATACTTTAAACTGGGAGCATCACATAGGCTCAAAAACGTTAAGCCACATCATAATGTCCATATAGGGCCAACTCTGTGCCAGGCCTTGTGGTCAGAGTGATGCACCCATTAAATCAGGCAACAATTGCAGTGCCCTAGAAGACATAGACAAGTCCTTCCCTCATGCAGTTTCCCCACTGAAGCCTGCAAGGTGGCAAATGTGCTTGGCCCCTTTTGGAGGCAGGGTGACCCCATAACTTCTAACTGCAATTAATCTAGGTTTGGGAGTCCCAGAATTTTTCCTAATTTGGATCCGTCTTTGGATGTGTTGAGATACACAGTCTATCCTCATAATTTGCAGCTTCTGTATTTGTGAATTCACCTAGGCGCTAAAGTGTGTTTGCAACAGCAAAATCAATACTCATGGTGCTTTCATGGCCACTCCTGGACATGTGTGGAGTAGAGTGGCAAGACATTAGATTGCCTAATGCTCCCGTATTCAGCTGAAGTGGAACACAGTGACTCCTGTCTTCTTGTTTATGCTCTCGTACTATAAGAAAATGCCCTTTCTGTGGAATATTTCTGACAGTTTTGTGCTTTGGTTGGTGATTTCGCTATCTGAAATGGCTCCCAAATATAGAGCCAGAGTGTATTCTGGAGTTCCTAAGTAAAGAAGGTTGTGATCTGACTAACAGAGAAAATATGTGTGATAAACTAGTTCTAGTGCTGTTGACTCTTTCAATGTCAATGAATCAACATTATATTTTAATTAAGGTGTCTATAAACAGAAACACCCATAAAATAAGGTATGTATGGATTGATTGGTTAATTAAAATGTCGTGACCAGAGACTTTCAGGTACTTAACTTCGTATTTCCTCTAGAAGCTCGGTATTCGCTAATTCAGTGTTTGTGGCAACTTCATAGATTACAGCGCTTGCAAGTAACAAGGACTGACTGCATCCAGAAACACCATTGCACTTGACTTTCTTAACTGACTTTCTTAATTGATGAGAGATATTCTGATTATTCAGTCTTTGATCTGAGATTGGGAAAACAATGAAAGACTTGGAATGCCATTGTCAACTGAGAGGAATTTTTAGGAGGAAGTCATAGAGGCCTGCAATCGAAGGTTCACAATGGAAGCCCTCAGGAGCCCCAATACTCTGAGGCAAATGACATCATGATCATCTCGCTTGTGCTCAGCAGAATCCAGTCGTTATTCTTTGACTGGAAATGTCTTCCTGGGTAGGAAGAAAGAAATCCGGGTTGAAAATTGAATAGTTTTAGCTTACTGGGTCTTTTAAACAGTGGTTATACTGTGAGCTGTTATGTACGACTCAAACTAAGTTTGTCAGAAATTGGTGAACGGTCAAATTTAAGTCATGCTAATAAAAATCCATGAGATCCCCAACTATCCTTTAAGTTCTCACATAAAAGGTTAATTTATTCCAATCAATTCACTTATTAAGTATAGAAAGGGCGTATTATGATTCCACTGTAAAATAACTTATTAAATAATAAGTAAAACTATGATACAGGAAGTTTTGACCTTTTATTACTTGCTTCATTCTTTGATGGTCAATGTAACAGTTGCTTCAAGGAAATCTTATTACTTTCATTTGTAATCATGATTTCTTAACAGAAAGTTCTACTTAAAAACTTTTGGTGAGTTCTTCCCTCTGAGAATCTAGTAATATTAGAAGTGCTTGCTTTTCCAATAATAATGAATCAACTACAATGTATTTGTTTTGGTGACTTTTTAGAAAAGCAATAATTCTTAGATAACTTGTCAAACGGCATCACTTTAACTTTATAAGAAAAGGTTAACTTCGCACTCACATTAAATACTATCCCTAAATACACTGTAGGCCACACCAGAAATATCCCCAGTGCTACGATAGATTATTAATTTAGGCAACATTTCATTTAATACTTCAGTTGTATGTTACTGTAAGAACTTACTTTGTGTCAGGCATTGAGACGGATGCCTTTCATATGTTTTTTCTAATTCTGATAGTAACTATATACAATAAGTATTATTATTCTCATTAAAGATAAAGGCACTGAAGTTCAAAAGGCCAAAAATTTGCAAAAAGGGGTATAGAAAACTAATATAGATTGTTAAAGATAAATAATCAAACTTAGGTCTATGAAAACTGGCAAACTCATTTTTGATACATTCTGAATTAATTTATAAATATAATTATAACTAATATTTACTTTTATAAAAATATTTAGAACATAATAACAAACATAACACAGAACAGAGTATTTCTAATTGATTGATCATTGACTGAAGGCTTACGAAAGTAATGGAAAGGGTCATTAGTCATTCTTGTTTAGGTAAGCACCTTATCACAAATATCTTATGATGTCATCATTTTCCACTTAAATGTTACCTACAATGAGTCCTGATGCAACACAGGAAAACACTTGTATCAGGACTTTATGGTAGTCTTTTGATCCCAGTGGCTGTTTTTAAGTGGGATTCATACACCTTTGATAGGTTGGAAATTAAATGTTCTTTAGAGATAGCATCTTAAAAAGAATGGTCATAAATTTTGAGTGAGTAGTATCAAGTTGTTTTTCATAGCATCAAACACATAGCATTTTCTCATACAGCAGCCTTTTCTGGTTCTTGACACTTTGGGATTCTTACAGTATAAAGTAACATCTTTCCTACCCTTTCCCCTTTCCACTCGATAGGATAGCTTAAACTTTTCATTGAGATAAAACTCATATACCATAAACTTACCCTTTAAAAATGTACAATCCAGTGGTTTTTAGTTTATTCATACTGTTGTAACATCACTGTCTAATTCCATAGCATTTCAACACCCAAAAGGGAAATCCTACACCCATTCAACCCCTTCCCCACCCACTGGCAAACACTAATCTACTTTCTATCTCTGTAAATATGCCTATTCTGGATGTTTCATATAAGTTGAATCGTATAATATGTATCCTTTGTGTCTGGCTTCTTTCATTTAGCATGTTTCCATAGCTCATCCATGTGGTAGCACGTAGCAGTACTTTATGTGTTTTTAATGGCTGGATAGTATCCCATTATATGGATGTACAACACTTGTTTACTCATTTGTCAATCTATAGACATTTTAGGTTGTTTTACTTTTGGCTATTCGGAATAATGCTGCTATCAATGTTCCCACACAAGCATTCTGAGCCCACATAGGTTCTCGTGTATCTTGTTAAGATAATTGAGGTCTTTTATTTTTCATTGCTTCTTTTTCTCCAGCTTCAGAAACACCCAGAATAATAGGAACTTGTACAACCCTGAGAGAACTTGATAAACGCTGGCAGCCACAGCTCCTTAAACCTGAACTCCGTTTGCCTGTCTTTTCCCAGAGCCACCCATTGGCCAGATGCGCCCTCCACATGGCAGCGCCACCCCTCAGAAGAACAGCAGTCTGCTTGTCATCATCGTGGTCACCGTTGGTGTCATCACAGTGCTGGCGGTCGTGATCATGGCTGTGATTTGCACCCGGCGCTCTTCAGCCCAGCAGAGAAAGTAGGTAACAGCTGGCTCCCAAGAGGACTGAGGTCAATCTTCTAGAATTGCATTTTTGACAGCTCTTTCCTTTTGTTCTTTTGTGATTCACCTATTTCCTTGTCTCCTGTCGCTGGAAAAACCTTGCCTTTATCTGTTCCAGGCCTATAATTAAGCAAATGAGGTCTAGGCATGCAGGTTCAATAACAAACAAAATTCACCTGACGCCCATTTGCATGTCTATTTGCTTTCACTTCCCTGGGCCACTTCTCATTTTCAAGTGAGGGAGGTGTTCCTTAAATTACGCATGGAGAATGGACTCCACCATGCCTCCGCTTATGGCCCTCTGTGCAATCATGTACACAAGGTTAGAGATAAGTTCCTGTATCTGCACTTATCATCACTTCTTTCAGGGAGGCCTGAATGCAATTAATCAGTGCTCATTGGATAGACGACTAATACAGAATGCTAAGCTCAATGTAGTTACAGTCTTATGGGGTATTTAGATTGCAGGTCATAGTTAAAAAAGAAGAGAAAGTCTAGAAATTCAAGGTTGTTCAAAGTTCCTGCCTCTGGTTAATTTTCAGAAATTAAAAGTATTGAGGGCTTTAAAAGTGTTTTCATATCACGTAGCTCTGGGTTCTAGCACAGGCAGAAAATGATGCATCAAAGCACAGAGCTGAAAAGGGAAAGGTTGTTTTAATTCAGCTTCTCTCCTTACAGGGGCACCTCAAATCCAGCTGATTAGCCTGTGTCAGCCAGGTCTGGGAATCAGCAAAAATCTGGCCATTCTCTACCTCTTTGACTCTCTAGCCTTTTCCAAATCCAGCCTGACGTTTCTCTTTCAGCCATACTCGCTCACAGGCTTCACTATGCTAGGCTCTTCGGTGAGTTTTTGATTTTGTTTGTTTGGCCTCAGGCATGGTGCTGGCTCTGAAGGCCTGAGGCGTGGGCCCCTAGGTGGCAGGTTTGACAACTATATATTGCACACGTGGTTAGACAGATTATCCTGCAAATAACTTTCCCGTTATCTTGCTAATAGCTCAGACTTTCCCTCTCATTTTAAAAATCATATAATTTTACGTCTTGATCTGGAGTGAAGCTTCCAGCACTCTGAAGCAAGGTGAAGAAGATGTACACACCGAAGAAAGTGACATGGGGTGTGGATACAGTCTTTGTATTTGATTTGTTCCTATGGCAGGACAAATTTTATATCCAGCTGCACTTATGAGAATGGGCTGCTTTGAAGCTGGTGGTAGCTAGTGTGCCGGTCCACTGTGTCCAAATGAGAAACCTGATGGAATCAAGCTTAAGTGGGCCAGCCTTATGTGTAAGGATTCTGGGAAGCCATAATCACTCACACTGCTTCCAGAGTGCTGAGCTCTGGAGGAAAAGTAATTGGCATTGAGTAAGGCAATCTCTTGGTGCAGCGTTTCCAGGAGAGGGCTGTGCAAACATGGAGTGGCAAAAGACTGAGGCAGCAGGTTTCTGGACCAGAACTGAGAAAGATCCACCTAAAAGGAGACAGGGAAAAGGCACCAAAACCACACTTGGCCTGTTTTCTGATTGCTGTCAAAGCATCAAGGCATTCACTAAACTAAATTTTACTAAATAATCTGTAGGACGTTTGTTTTGTAACTTTTCCCCATTGTCATTACTGTGAGAAGAATGTCTGAAGGTTGTATTGACTTGATGAACTGGATTCCTGGATGTATTTTGTTTCTCCATGGATAAGACATTAGTTTTCTGGCAAAAATGGGATTTGACACCATGCTGACAAACTTTCAAATCATCTAAACTCCCACTCTAAACACTTTGGTAAAAGCTTGGAGGTCTTATTTGGAAAGAATGGACACTGAGCCTTGAGTATGAGTTGCTTTCGTAATTAGGGAATAAATTAAAGAATAAATGGTTCCACGAATGACAGAAAGCAAATTCGCTGCTCACTTTGTTTTTTTCTCACCCCGTTCTCAAAGTCTCTTACTGTTTACTTGGTGTGTTTACACACCTAGTTTCATTGTCTTTTTTCAGTAACAAACCCATAGGCAATCATTTTGGTCTCTTTGTTTGCATATGCTAGCAGAAAGAAAGAGAAACAGAAACTTTTTCTCCTTCAAATATTTCTGAGTTTTAATTTAGTTTTTCTTGATTTCATTGGGGACCTCTGCCCCCACATCACCACTGTTGAGTTCTTTAGAACAAAGTAAGCGGTGTAGGTGAAAGCACAATCAATTCCAAACTGAAACAGAAGTAACATCCTTTCCAGAACCTCAGAAAATGGCAGTTTAATGTAATTAGTAAGGTGAAGTAAGAAGCACATTCACAGGTTTCTTCCATATCTTTTTGTCTGGGAGAGCTGGAGAATGTAAGTTATTCTTTGTGTATTGTTGGAGGACTTGAATTACATTCCAGTGAATTGAAACATTTTTATGGACTATCAGTAATACCTTATTCAAGTTAGTGTCAATGCATTTTTATAAACCATAAGCCATGGTTTATAGAACTTTTAAAATGTATGTGTGTGTGTGTGTGTGTGTGTGTGTGTGTGTGTGTGTGTGTGTATAAAATGAAGTGAACTATCTGGTTGGTTCATAGGCGAGTGGGTAAGATTTCATCTTCATAATATAAAATACCTAATGAAAGTTAGAACCTAAATTATAGTTCTAGGACTACATCTTTAAATAAACTAATTATGTCACTTAAGAAAGACCCTTAATCTCTGGGTGGCAGTTTCTTCAAATATAATAAGAAATAGAACTAAATACTTTCTATCCCCTCTACCTTTAAAGCACACAAATTCCCTATGGAATACTATTAAATTATAGAATCTCATGGTAGCATTTAGCTTTAAATTAATATCAAATGAATATAATTTGCATTTCTTTTTAGTTATGTATTAATTATTTTTACTACTGTACTTTGAAGAGAGTCTCCTTACACAGTTTTTATTAGTAAGATTATAGAACTTCTAATACAGAAAAAAGTGTTTTATGAAAACATAAAATGATGGATTTTTTTCTGTGCTTTTTAATAAGGTGGTAGCATTTTCTTGGCCAATATAGATCAACTGTTATAAGTTAGAATTTACCGATAGGTACTAAAGACAAAATATTTGACATTGAGCATATCACAGAACACTGTTATTACATTTCTAAGGCAGTTACCTGAGTAGGTGATCACCAATCTTTCCTGAATACATTAAATTTAAATATGTAAATACAACACAAGTTTTACTTGATAGAATCACTAGTTGAATATGCCCTCTGTTTGATTTGTCGTGTGCTCAGCAAGTTATAAAGATTAGCACACATTCACTTTCTGACAAAAATAGCTATTTTCAGTATTGAGCATCAAATGTTTGAGCTCTTAAATGAAATCTGCTGCATTAACTACTGTAGGCCACTTTCACTGATTTTCAACTTTTTAAATTTTAATTGTCTTTCCAGTAATCACCTCATAGGGATTTTGACTGGAAAATACTTAGGACATCAATGTATTTTATTTCCATCTCAGAAAATACAACTGTATTTGCTTATGCAGAATTTATTCTGAGTTTCTAAGACAAGTTTTTTTTTTTTTTTAATAGCAGTTAGTAAATAAAAAATAAACCAAATAAAGAATTAGAAGGCTAGAAGCCTTTGGGAAATAATTGGAGGAGAAAGGAGAGGGGAAATATTTGTGCTTCCTAATATATCTTTTTCTGGTTAACGTGTAGTCATTTTTTCACACTCGCTTAGACCTTTATTTCCTGAAGCCTTCCTTAAACCCCTGTGATGGGGCTGAACGCTCCTACCTCAATCCCACCAGATCTTGGGCATATCTTTTTTTTTTTTTTTTTTTTGAGATCAACTGCTTTTATTTTATTTTATTTATTTAGATTAGAAAATGCAGTTTATTTAGAAAGTAGTTTAGAGAGAGAAAGAGGAGATTTACCTCTCCAAGGTAGAGTAGGGAGCTAGGAAACATGGCCTGGCTCTAGCTTAGCAGGCAATGGCCACAATGGCCTCTTGGGCATATCTTTTGACCACAGAAATTAGTACAGAACTTTTTATTTGTCTGCCTTCTGTGAACAACTTTGACAAAGGATGCCTAAGCACATAGGGGGATCTTAATAATGTATTACAATGTGGCAAAGAGAATCTATAAGATGATAGCAGTATTTTAGAACTTCAAAGGACACAATCTTAGATAAAATAAATGCTCAACCACTGTTGGGTTTTACCCGTTCCCATCCCCAACATACTGGCTAAAAGTGAAAAGGAAAGAAACTCTCCTTAGAGTAACAGGTTATGTATAAAGTAAGGAACAGGTAGAACAATGATGAACCAGAAAAGAAGCTGTGCAAAAATACTTCCATGTCAGTAATGGAACGTTCTTATTCAATCAAGTAGTCATCTCATGCTTAGTATGTGATCTGCAGCATGCAAAATAACACATCTGATTATCGTTAAGGCTCAAGCTAAAATCTCTCTGCAATTCCCCACTGACTTCTTGATAATCTTAAAATGTTTCTGTGGGGGGCAAGGTGTCCCGTGATTTGGGCTCTTCTCCTGGCCATGTTCCAGTGTATGCTCCTTACTCCAATGCTGCAGAAATTCCTAGGAGCCATGCCTTTTTATGCATTTATTAAGCTCTCAATGCCTCACTCACTTTTGCAGCTGTAGTACTTAGTACATTTCCTGACACATAGTCAATTTCCATCAGCGTTAACTGAATAAATAAACGAATAAATATTGTAAAGCAACGGGTGATGTTGGAGAGGGAAGGAAGCAGCCTTTGCTCCAGGATCACCAGAGGAATTGGATATCACAAAGGGAGCTGCTGGACAGCTCAATACAATGCATGATGATCCATGGCAAGGTGAGGGAAATGCCTGAGGTGTTCTAAGATTGCATTGACCCAGAGTGGCCAGGAAGGCTTCCCGCAGGAGTGAGGCTTGAAGGGAACCTTTACGAACAAGGAGGTTGTAAGTAAATAGGGTTGTGAAAGCATTCTGGGCAGAAGTTAAACAAAGAAAACAGAAAATTAGGACACTAGTACTTATTTATGCTGTAAAAGCATTGCCACAGTATGAGAAGGAGAAAGCACAGAACCTTGAAAGACTCTTTGCTTTGACTTTATTCAAGAATACATGGGTGTTCTAGAGCTATTTTGGAAGCAGATAAATTACTGGTGACTGAGGGGAAAGATATATTTGGTATTTAGGGAGGAGTTAAACATGGGAAATATTCTATATCTAATAGAATAACTAACTTGAAAATAAAAACAAGCAATAACAAGATAATTGACTATGACATTGCTTCTCAAGTTTTAGCTATATCAGATTCAACAAGAAAGTGTGAAAACATAGATGTCTCCCACTCCTCCAAGTTTCTGATTCGGTCATTGTAAGGCGTGGCCTGAGAATGTGCATTTCTATCAGGTGTCCAGGCAGTGCTGATGCTTCTGGTCCAGGGCCCACACTTTGGCAACACACTGCACTAGAACCATCTGCATACGCATTTTGAAGATTCTAATGGTGAGACAAAGGAACGCGACCTGCAATAAGCAGCAGCCATGTCAGGAACCAACAGATGGGCAGAAGGTCAGGGTGACAGTTGTTTCTGGAGGTTTTAAGACAAATTTCAGACAATTTAGTTATGAGCGTATGTTCGTTTTATTACAAATCTGCTGCGGTGGAGTCAAGGGTGGAGGGGACAGCCAAAGATTTCTCCCTTGATAAGAGACAATATAGGAGACAGACATGGTGAGGTGGTGATTGATAGAATAAATACGAAAAGAAAATAATGTCTGTTCAGAGATCTTTAGATTTTTGACAAATAGCTTGGTGAGTGAGTCGCTTCTTAGAAATGGTCTTGGTCTGATTAAGTCCTATCCCAGAAATGCCTATGCATTTTATCAGGCATGTTAATTTCCTCACAGATGTGGGTTATGAGTCACTTACACAAAAAGGCTCTGCCTCAGTCCAGTTTGGAAACTTAAAAAAAAAAAAAAAATAGAAGCCACATGGGGATGCTTGAAACTGAAGTCGTAGGGACTGGAAAATAAATGAAGGAATTAAAAGGAATGCAAGTAAGCAAGGAGAAACCAGCGTTTATGATTTATTATTGGTTTCAAGATTTTTGGCTACTTTCTTTACCATAGGCTATTTAAAGATTGAGTTATTATGAGCAGTCTGACTATGGTGTCCGGAATTTGAGAACTGATAGTTCTCTGTGTGCAGACACCCAGGTGCTAGAGTACTTAGTATTTTGATCTAGTAGAAAGAGAAAAATCTTTAAGCTTGAAAATGACATTAAATTCTTCTATAAAGTTACAAGGGGTAAAGTATATAAAGAGCTATGTATAAGTTGCAGGTCAGTTTCCTGTCGGCAGGTGAAATGTACACAGATGAACTCAAAGAATGAATGGTTAGCAGCTAATTATCATCCTAGACACAGGAAAATAACCTCGGAGTTATTTGAGACCATTGTCTAGAAACAGTATGGGGTTGCTACCTGGAAATAAGCATAATGCAAGCAGTTGTATTTTTTTTTTCTCTATTAAAATACAAAATAAATATTGCCTGGGTTCTTTTTCTCTTATTTTCATCAGAGTACTTTAACAAAGACAAAAAGGAATGTTGGAGAAAATTCAACAAATCATAGCGCCAAACATGGATTAATTGCCTAATATTCACAAAGCTGCTTATTCAGCAATCGGAAAACTAAAGCCACTCCCAATGACTCTGCACAGGTTACAAGGTGTCTTCATTGAGAATAGTTTGTTTGAACCATTTAGCAACCCTAAAAAGCAGTTATCATAATAAACTGTTCATTGAAAATTAAGGAAGTGCGAAAGAGATCATTCTCTGGTCTTCTGTCAAAGCTAGGTTTCAAATGTTTGCATTCTGTCTTAAAAGAGGCATTATTGCAAACAATGTAAATAGGGTTGTGAAGACATTCTGGGTGGAAGTTAAATACATAAACAAAACCAAAAAAATAGGATACTAGTATTTATTTATGCTGTAAAAGCTTTGCCATGGTATGAGAAGGAGAAAGCATACAGCCTTGGAAGACTCTTTGCCTTGACTTTATTCAAGAATACATGGAGCATTCTAGAGGAATAACACTTATAAAACTAGAGGAGGAGTCAAAAACTGTTTCTGAGAAGGACCACATAACATATTGTTTAGAATTCTGAAGCCAAACAATGTCTGTCACAACTATTCAGTTTTGCTATTGCAATGCAAAAACAAATGTTTCAATAAAACTTTATTTACGAAACCAGACTGTGGGCAGATTTGGCTTGGAAGTTGCAGTTTACTGACCCCCTGATGTAGAGAATGGCTGACATGAGTATATGTGATTTTACTTAACATGCAGGGAGCATTTGAATCTCACTAGCCTCAAAAAAAGAGATTATCACCAAAAAAATATAAAGTTAGGTTGCTAAATCTTAACTGAGGCAAATAAGAGATGTGTGAAATGTATTTTTAGACTGCATCCTTCTCTTTTCAAAGGACGGGTTTCATTGTGTCTGAATCTAGACACTTTGTGACTGCAAGGCAAAAGTGTTTTATTCCCCTAAGAATGTCCTCATGTGGCCTTTTGTTTTGAAATCGCAAGCTTCCCGATTGCACATTAAATTATACAGCTGAGGTGTAGATGTTCTTCTAAGCCCCCATCTTGGCTGTTGGCACAAATTCTGGCCCTTTTATTTTCATTTGCCCTTTAGAAGCAACTCCTTCATTTATCTTCTAAACAGATGTTGCCGTCTGGTACCTTATGCCTCGCTCCGGAGATTGGCATATGGCTCCATCTAACCCATTGTCACCTTGTGCATGAATCTGCAGCCGGGGAAGCCGGACTGAGGAGCTCTCTGGCAGGCAGCCGAGGCCCTCGGGATTCAGCACGGCATCTCCTATAATGTGGTGAGCTCCAGGGAGGAAGAGGACAGGCAGCCAAGACAAGCCTGCCAATTCCTGGGCTTCACAGGGCTCCTCCTGGGAGTCTTTTGTTTCCTTCCCTGCTTCAAAGTTGAATTGGCTGATGACACCCACCAGGGAAGGGACATTGACCAAAGACTCTCCTATTTGCATTCTCACTTTGCTCCATAGGAAACGGGCGACCCATAGTGTTGGTAAAAGGAAGGGCAGCCAGAAAGACCTCCGACCTCCTGATCTCTGGATCCATCATGAAGAAATGGAGATGAAAAATATCGAGAAGCCAGCAGGCACCAACCCTACAGGGAGAGACTCCCCCATCCAAAGCTGCCAAGACCTTACCCCGGTCAGCCACAGTCAGTCAGAAACCCAACTGGGCAGCAAAAGCACCTCTCATTCAGGTAATTACCTTTTCATTGAAAAAATACCATTCTGAACCCCACAAAAGAGTTTTCCACTCCTTTCCTGGGGATTTGTTTCCCACTAACTTGCATGCCATTACAAGTAATTTATCAAAAGGTAAAATAATCTAATATAAGTGTGATTGATTAGCCAGTTACACATCTTTCTTCTCCATCGACATGCTGACTACCTTTTATAACTTTAGTTATTGAAACTTCTAAGATGTTAGAAGTAATACAGTTGGGAAATATTGAAATGTGAAGCCTAAGTGAATTGATTTCTTTTTGCCAAATCTTGAACAAAAATTGTATCAAGGTACTAACATTTGAAGCTATCTATTTTCCAGTTTCCTTTTTCTAAAGATAATTAAAAGCTGATTCTAAATTTGCTGTGAATTCCTTGCTTTAAGAAATCAAATCAGGGGCACTTGAAGTATGAAAAAAATAGAATATTCCTTTACTTTGGCCTTAATTCCTATGGAAAGCAACAGTTATCTTCATATGATCACATTATATGATCACCAGCCTAGTTTAATGGAGTCTTTCTGAAAGCTATGTTGTTATACAAAGGAATCTGAAGAAAAATGCCTACTGTTCAATGAATTGGCGCAGAACAATCATTGGTGTCTAAAAAGAACTAAGAGCACTAGAAAGTGGTTATAAGAGACTTCATTTTCTCTAGGTCCTCACATTATCTGAGTACTTATGGGAAATGGAATAATCAACCAAACACTCTTATCAAAATCCCTTAGCCTGCCCATGATGAGATTATAGAATTTTTAAACTGAATTAAAATATTTTAGTTATTTGAATGTGTCACTGATTTGCTGGACTCTGTCAGCTGAGAATCGTGTGAAGAAGTTCAACTATTGATTTTCAACCACGAATTGCTGAATTTTTTTTTTTTTGCTATTTAATTATATCTTAGGCAGATTCTCCAACTTTTTTGTCATGCTCTGTTTTTAAAGAGCACTCTAATTCTTAGCAACTTTAACATGCAAAGATTTTCCTTCCTCATAGCCAATTAGACGCTGGGGACCAGGGATCATAATTTGCTCTGTAATTTCTTCAGCATCTTAAAGTGAATTGGAGCAGTGAGTTTGGACAGAAGGGTGCACCCAGTCTGTTTCAGGAACACCTTTACATCCGTCCCTTACCTGGTCACTCTTCCTAGATGTGTGAGAGACTGTGTGAGAGAAAAGGGAGGGTGTGAAGAGGGGAGGGGTGGAGGGAGAGAAGAAAATCCTGTCGGCAGTTCCTCACTGCCTTTCTGTGCACATGGGCTGGCCGTTGTGCAGAATCCAAATTCAGAGGCTTATGAATTAAAAGTATGGGTTATTTATGGGGCCCCATGGGTCACCGTCTAGCTCTGTGATGTGTGATGTCGCCTCAGGGTTCAACACCATCCCATCCCACAGAGCTCTCCCTGTTATCTCATGGGGTCACCGGTGGGTGACTGGCTTTCCACATGCCCATCTGGCCCACAGGAATCTCTTACATCCTTGCTGGGTCCAAGGGTGAGGGATCTCGCACCCCACCATGGACCCTCTCTTAGCCTGTTCTCTTCCATTCCCTCTTCTTCTTCGGGTGAGACGGACACAGAGGGTACCAGCAAGCCTGCTGCCTGAACAGGCTTCCACCTGGGAGTGAATGCCAATGAATCTCTTTTGCAGAAACCCACACACTTCACAGGTGATTGCTCTTGCAACTTTGTTCTCGTCTGGACATCGGGGAGAGGAGAGCACCCCTGGCTCCCCCGGAGGAGACACAATTGCCTCTCTGCTCTTGGAAGTTCTTGCCAACAACTCCTGGCACGCCTCCCTTCTCGTCTTTAACCTTCATCTTGTGTTTACGTTAAGACTCCTTTCAGGTCTCTTAGTGAGTCCTGGGGAAAGGTTTAACCCCAGACCACAGCTGTTTTTTTAGGATGGGGTTTTTGTACCTATTTGTCCTCGGTTTGAGGAACTAATTGCCAGTTTTAATAGCAGGAGTGATCCTCAAAACCCTGCAAGCTGTACTGTATGTTATATTTGGTATTCTTGGTGTCTTACTGGTTCAAAGAACAAAAGTCAGCATTAGTGAATAGCAGTACCAGGAAGCATTATATTTAACAGTGAGGTTTCTGAGTGAGCAATAACTAAGTAAGGAAATATTACTTTATATTAAGTTCTGTCATTGGAATTTTTGCACATTATCTCACCTGATTCTCACAAAATACTTTGAGGTAGATGCTATCATTCTCTTAATATAATAAATGAAGCAACTGAAGGTAAGAAAGGTTAAGTAACATGCCCAGATTTCACACCTAGTATCAGGGACCAAAAATCTGTCTGACTCCAACATTCATGCATTGACCCAGTTTCAATTAATGTATGTAATACTTTTATACAAGTTCTTATCCTATGCTCTGCCCATGAAACTAGCTCTTTGGATAAAACCAAAAATTAATTTTCAATATTTATACTTTAGCTGTGGAAAAGATCATTGGATCAAGCAATTGCTGAGTTAACAACAAAAAAATTACGACATAAAAGTTAATTTTTGCATTACATATTCTTTCCTGCTTCGAATATTCAAGCTGCTTAAACAAAACTTGCCTTATTCCCTAACCACTAAAATACAGCATCCTACTAAAATATCTAGGGACCAAGAAGATAAAAGTAATCTCTTCATGACACCTCTTCTATGTCTAGTGAACTTCAGAATTATTTTCTTCACTTAAAAATTAACAACAGAGGGAGACGGGGCAAGATGGCGACGGCATAGGTGAACTTGTGAGATTCTCTGAACGTGAGTTCCCCAAAAAGGCTATCACTTCGCTACCCCCATCCCCCAGCCCACCACCAACCGCGCTGGGGGCAGGCCCGGGAACTTCAGTCCCACGCAAGGCCAGATATTGCGCCCCCGCCCCACTGCTGCCGTTCTACTCGGGTGTGGAAGTCTCCGGTCCCAGCCCCCTCCAGATCCCTCCCCGGCTGCATTGTCTCCAGCCCGGGCACCCGGCATCAAGCCGCCGGTCACACAGGGAGGCTCTGGGCACCCGCCCCTCAGAGACGCTGGTTCCATTTCTGGCTGAAGTCCTCTGTTGGGTCCCAGCGCCACCCTCGCTGTCTAGAGCCTGCCCTTTGGAACTTTGGAGCTCTGGAACTCCGGGTCCACCCTGGCTGAGGCACTCAGCGTGAGACCCCAAATCAGAGGACCCAGACAAGCGGAGAAAAACAGATCTGCTTAAACTGCCTTGCCATTCTCCAGGAAGAGACTTCCATTGCCCTGCCCACCCAGCAACAAACTTTACCTCATTTCCTAAGGCCAGGTATTGCAGCGTGCGGGGAAGTTTTGGGTCCGTGCTCCCTCCAGCTCTCTGCACCTGGCACCGCAGGTCGCACAGGGAGGCTCTGAGCGCCCGCCCCTCAGAGACACCGGTTCCATTACTGGCTGAATACTCTGTAGGGACCCAGTGCCACTCTCATCATTTACAGCCTGCCTTTTGGAACTTTGGAGCTCTGGAA